ATAGTGGTGTCTCATATATGGAGAAAAAAAAGAAGAAAAAAACATGTATTACACGAGTATACCGTCAATTGTTTTATTGTATATATTTATGCATGGAGAAGGAGAATGGGATCTTAACCCTACACGTGTCGAACATCTAAGAGACACTTGGGCGTATCTAATTTGGCAAGTGTCTCTCCAGTTTGGCAGCCTTGCTAGAATTTCCAAGTCAAACTGGCGTACATGTAAACTGTGATTCAAAGTTATAGGCTCTGGTAATAATATTTTCTCATTTTTCTAATAATATTTGGCGACACTGGAGGCTCTACTTGTAGCGGCTACTGCTCTCAACTCAAGTACAAACCGCAGGCTTTGTAATCTTTGGATCTCTTCACAAAAAGCAGAAAGAAAATAAAGCACTTTTATAATTTATCATGGGAATCCCTATGGTTTTTTGGGAAGCCAAACTTTTGTGTCGCATTCTTTGACTCTCATTTGGCCACTCATTTACCAAACAACATTGTTGTCATGCGACTTCGTGTTAACAAGGACACCCACCTAAATGAATTATTCTTTGTTCAATCACATCACAAATACTTGGGTTAGATCGCCTGATTAGCTGGCTGATCCGATTATTTAATATCGACAAACATATCGATCATCGACAATTCATTCATATTACGAACAATACTAAACTTATGTGGTAAATAACTAAGGGCATGACAATATTTGATTGACTCCATTGACGATCTAACCCTAGTTAAATGCATTAGCACACAAAGAAGAAGTAAAATGTAGGGAAGGGAGAAAAGTTAGGCAACACTTGAAAATTGCAAGCAAAGGCTGTATATTTCTAGCTGTTGGTGTTTACAAGATGTTACACTACAGCAAGGTTAGATGGAAACCCGTAAATCTTTAGTCTTTTTACACCCCCAATGGTAAATCTTTTATTTAAATCCATCCAATTTATCCCCAAAAATTTGACAAAAATTGAAGAAATAATTCAACTTTTCTTTTCTATTCTTTCTTTAACGGGAAGGAAGCACATTTTACTCACTCTTACTCTGCTGAGACAATGGAGATTGCACCACTTGAGATGCTGCCAGGGCTTTCATCGCACAGGGCATACGCCCTCTCCAAGTTCGCCACAATGTCCGCCATCGTCGGCCTATCTTTCCCTTCCAAACTCACACAATGCATTGCTGTATACGCCACCAGCTCAACCGCCTCCGATTCATTCACTTCCGGAGGCCCAACCCTCTTGTCCAAAACCCTCACCAACTCCCCTTTCATAATCGCCGGCACTGCGAAATCCACCACGCTTATGGGCGTCCCCCATCCTCACCATCCTTAAATATTGCCCTCTTCCCCGTCAGAAGCTCCAGTAGCACCACGCCGAGTCCATAGACATCGCTCTTCGCGGTCAACAAGTTGAGTCCGTAGTACTCCGGATCAATGTAGCCAACCGTCCCTGCCGCCTTCGTTGGCCTAAAAATCCACCTCTGACTCCGGCCCCATCAACGACAACCCAAAATCAGACACCCTCGCGGTCCAATTCGCGTCGAGCAAGATGTTCGATGACTTTATATCTCGATGAATGATAGGCGGCACGGCGTAATTGTGCAGATACTCAATGCCTCTGGAGGCATCCAATGCAACCTTGATCCTCATTTTCCACGAATTTAACAAAACTACTGCTTCTCTCTCCACATTGTTCTTGTCATGCAAGTGATCATAAAGCGCACCGTTTTTCACGTGCTCGTACACCAAAAGCCTCTCGTCCCTCTCTTGGCAATATCCGACAAGCCTCACGAGATGTTTGTGATGAACTCTCGACAAGAACGCAAGTTCCGAATCGAATGCGCTCTCCTTCTCCTGATACTTCTTCATCTTCGGGGCGGTTTCGCCTCTCTTGATCGCAACTTCCCGGCCGTCAGGCAGTTTGCCTCTATATACAACTCCGAAGCTTCCGGCGCCAATCTTGTTCTCCATTGAGAAGTCATTGGTGGCGGCCGCGAGCTCGGACAGGGAAAACTCCTCCGCCCTGTCTGCATGCTTCGAGGATGTTCCGCTCCTCTGCCGCCTCATGATCCTCGAGCCCTGGCGGCGGATGGTGGAGGATCTCGACGGGGGACTATTGTTTGACGTTATCCCATTGCCATTGTTTGAGCTAGCATCTCTAGTAATTGTCGGCTGAACTGAATTGTGAATCTTTTTGTCCCCAAAACAACCGCCGGTCCACAAACAATAAATAACAGTACAAATACCTGCAAAAGCTCCGACAGAACCGACAATGGCAAACATCAATAAACCCGTCGTCAATGCCGCGGGCGGCAGCCTTGACGGCAGGGGCGGTGGCGGCTGCGGCGACGGCGGCGGCGGTGGAAATGCTGGTGGTGGCAATGAAATTGGAGGCAAACAGGGCTTGCAAATGTTGTCTGCACCAAAACAGAGCCTTTGGGACTGAGGGTAAATTCCACATTCACCGCAGGAGGAATTGATGACACAAGAACCGGGAAGAATTTCGGGCAATTCGAGCTCCTCCCCTGATTTCAAACCGGAGAGATTGGGCCAGCCCGTACCCCAACAAACAATCGAAAAATTCCTGGTGGTTAATCCACAAACGAAATCCGACCCAGAAGCAATTACTTCAAAAGACACCCCGTTTGTTTGGTTAAATGCAAATTGACCTCCTCCTCCCCAACAAATGACCGTTTTATTTGAAGTTCTGATTGCGCAGCTGTGGTTTACTCCGAGGGACAGAGCAGAGAACTCGAAAGGCGAGCCAGGAGGGACGTTCCATTGGCCGGCGCCATTGCTTCCCCGGCAGACTATAAGTCCTGTGGTGTTGATCCCGCACACGTGCGAGCCGCCGGCTGTGATGGTCGCCATTGTCATGTTTCCGAACCCGGTTTGTATTTCTTCCGCCATTGAAGTTGCTCTGCCCCAGCATCGAACCCGGAGGGTGGCTTTGGAAATTCCGCAAGAGAAACCCGACCCCGATGAAATCGAGGAGAATTGGTCCGACCCAGATGGTAATTCGGACACGTCGTCGACCCGCCAGCATTTTATGGTGCCTGTGACGACGGTTCTGGCGCAGATATGGTCGTCGCCGACTGAGAGATTTTCTAACGTAACGGTTTTGTTGAAGTAAAGACGTTTGGATGGGAAGGTGGAGTTTTGGGAGGCGATGTCGTCCCAGCAGAGGATGCTGTATCCGCCAGAGCGGAGGCCGCATAGAGAGGTCCGTCCGCCGGAGATGGCGGAGAAGGAGATGTTGGGCTCGACTGCGACGGTTTGTCCGCGGCGGTAGCAGACGATGCGCTGCCGCGGTTGGTCTGACACGACACCGCAGACGGTGCCGGAGGCGGAGATAACGGCAAGGGTGGAGCCGGAACCGAAGGCATGAGCTTGTGGTGGTATAACGGCGAAGAGGATGGTGGCGGTGATGATGATGAAGGTGGCGGTGGTAAGGGAGGAGAAGGGTCGTTTCGTCATAGAAAGGAGTGGGGATTGACGGGTATTTTTAAACAATTTTTTTATTATTTTTATTAAGTTAATTAATCTGGACCGTTGGATTTGAAAAAGATTCAAATCCAACAGCCCAACGTGGACACGTGGCAAATGGTCATAATTCTAACCATTTGTTTTTTTTTTTCATTTTTTGGGCGATAATCGTGGATTGTTGATCTCGAATCGGAAGGCCCATAACGTATCACGTCATTAGCTATTGGATTTGAAATTCAAATTTTTTTACACGTTGGAAAAATCCAGCAGTCCAGAAAACTAGAAATTGAAAATTCAATAGCTTATAATGAGCCACATGGCCACTCACACCAGTACAATTAGTGCGTTGCAATGGCGAGCCCTACCGTTTTTTTGGTCTAGAACGCGCGCAAGTCTGATGCAAAAAAAAATGTAATGGGGGTGTGATGTCATGCTGACGCCAGCGTGATCTCACATAGTCCACACACATTGCTCTGCACCGTTTTGGGCCAAGCTATGGATTGGCTTGGGTTGGGTGCCAACCTATAGGCTTGGTTGGACCATTTTTTGTGCAGGCTGACCTATTTTTTAGGCTTTGAGCCGACCTACCCCAATGAGGTGGAGCTGCTCTTAGATGTCACGATGACTGTCAAAAAACATGACATTATGGCTCCATGCGGATTTTTTATTTTTTGCAAAGTAACAATAAAAAAAATAAAAAAGTCAAACTTTTTTGTGTTTTTTTGAAAATTTTTAATTTGGCGGGAACTTATTTCAAAATCAACTTGAACCATCTTGTACGCATTGCAGGGCCTACAGTACTATGTTTCTACATTGTCCAGCCAATTGAAATGTCACGGTTTTAACGGAGCTTCTGATGTCGATTAATGGAAATATGGATTTGGAATCAAAATGTAATTTTATGTATGAAAATGAGATGAAAATAACTAAAGGTAGAAAATTGCGAATTTTACGATACTTGAGAATTAATGGGCCAAGATATTACCACATTATCAGTTAACAGAAGACTAGATTAACGCAAGTATAAAAGTGACAAAAAAAATTTAAGTTCATATATAAAACTTATAAATAAATAAATACATGTAAAACGATTTTGGCGAAACTTGAAAAAGTAAATTAGGAATTACAGCTCAATTTTTCTAATATTTTAAAAAATAAAGTGAATTACACCTCAATTTTTTTATATTTTTAAATGAGCTCGAAAGGGGATGTCTTGGCGCGCCCTAGGCCCCTAGGAAAAAAACCAGACATTTCACTCTCTCTTTCTCCACCGGCCATGGAGGAGACCGCCATCATTTCAAAACTTGAAGCCGCCAACACGCCGGCCTTCATCCCCTCGTCGCCGCCTATCTTCAGCCGTTCACCGAACTCCAGAACCCCAAAAAAAACCAAAAAATCAACCAAATCCCAAGACCACCAAACCCTCCTCCGCTCGCTCGCCAAGAAATTCCTCCCCTTCCTCAACCGCACGCTATCCCTTCTCCCCAAACGCCTCGCCGACCCCTCAAAGTTAGATGACAAATTTGCCCCTCGAACTCTTCGATATTTACCGGCTCTGCCTCGACTGCCTGGCCGCCGTGTCCTCTGTGTTGTCCGCTTCGCCGCACTCGTTTCACTACCCGAGGGTGAGGATGGTGAGTTGCCTTGTGGCATGTGGGCGGTACAAGGATGCGGAAAGTGAGGGGTTTAGGGTTTTGGAGAGCCTTAAGGCGATTGAATGTGGGTCGAAGAAATCGGTGAAATCGTGTCGGAGATTTGTGCCGGATGTGGAGAAGGGGGGCGGAGATAAAGATTTTGGGTCTTTGGTGGGTGAAATTGTGGTGACGCTTGTGAAATGTGCGGCCATGAGTCAGAGTAAGGACAGTGAGGTGTTTGAGCGGGTGCTTTGTTTGGCTGAGGAGGTCATGCCGTGGTTCCGGTAAGTGAATCATCCGATTTTCGCTTTTCCGTAGAATATTGCTGTTAGTATTTTGGATCAAAAATGTTTCAACTTGAAAAAGCAGAACCCTGAACTTATCTGAAGCAGGCACAGTTTCACTGGCATTTTGAGCACTTAACATTATTTGTGATTTTACAGCAATGATCAGTAGTTTACTGATTGGTGTACCTGATATGAAATGTCTTAGGGTATTAGATGCAAGCACATGTGAGAAGTTGCACAGGAATCTGGTTTGCCTATCTGAGTAGGTGTACTCAATTTTTAGTTGGGGAGCTATCGGTGTTCAATGGGGATCTTGTGCAAAAGTTCTGCATTTTAACCATGACTGAGTATGCTAAGTCGCCAATGAAAAGACACAATGGTCAAGGTAGCCTATGTTTGATTCTATAGTAAGGATTGTATAAAAAATTTGATGCACGTATCTAATCAGTCCTTTTCTTTTGTTCATACAGTTTGCCCGTACGATATGTTCATCTTTATTCTTGTTTCAAGAGGATACATTCACACTCACTCGCATCTTATTTTGCTTGTTGGACTCCCTTGTCCACGAATGTAAGGTAATGCAGATGGTTTTAAATGTGTATTTTAGGATTGAGGAATGTGATTTGACCAAGATGTCTATGCTCATAAATCGTCAGTGCCCATGTCAATGTTTAGTTTCCAGATATTCGCTTGAAGGCTGAGCCAGTTTGTATTAGACATTTTGACCTATATTTCAACTAAATGGCAGAAAATATGATCACATGCTTTTATTTGTATTCTTGAACCTTGGGATACCATATAATAACTAAGCTAAAGAAAGGTTTCCATATCTTCTGGGTTCAAAGTACTTTGGCCCTTTTGAAAATGTATGATGGCTTGGGAATTAGACATCAGATCATGCAGATTTTTTATTTGTTACATTTTTTTTTTTCGTTGTATCTACTTGGTATGATTTAGACCTCCGATTTGATTGCCTTTGTTTTTTTTTTTAAGACACATCATAATTGTTTTTCTTAATTGTATTATTCTTTTGGGTCAACAATCGTCTTACAATGGTATAGTTAGAGAATTAATTTAGGGCAGGTTTTCCGCTTCACTTTCATCTGAGGGAAATGAAAAGGGAAAAATATCACAGTGATTATTGAAGACCACAAATATTATTTGACTCTTTGACAAAAAAATAGAGAAAAGAATATTATATGTCTAACTGAATTGACTTTTATATTAATTGTTGTTTCTGCAAAATAATGTAACAGTTTAGTTAATATTTATTAAAAAAATTGTTATTTGATCATAAAATAAAGGGAACTTTAACGAAAAGCTCTCGGTACTGATCACTTTAACAAAAAATCACATTTTTACACTAAAAAGTCAATCTTGATACTATTCATTTTACCCTTTATTTTGTCCTTATCGTTAAAACTCAAAGTTTTCAAGCCCTTTTCATTAGTTTTCCTTAAAATAAACAAGTATCAAATTTTCGGTAGAAGTGAACGTACATGAGAATATCCTAATTAAAAAATCATTCTAATTAGTAGCATATAGGTCCTTTGTAAAAGGGTGGTGCCATCCATGCACCATTTTTTACTTTCCACACACCCTCTGTTAATTTCTGTCCTTTGATCCTCTCCAATTCATTCAATTTGACGGCCTGAAATTGAGAGGAGTGTGGGAAAGGTAAAAAGGGGTGTTGGATAGCACCACCCTTGTAAAACCTTGGACTAGTCTCTGTGGTATTTAATCTGAATTATTTCATATTTTTAGTATACTAAAAGTCTCATGCAATGTATGTTTTTAATTTGTTACTATCCCTTAATATATGAACACAACATGCTCTCTTTGGACCTTAATTTTGGTGAAGAAATTATATGACAGGGTCTCTAACTAAAGTTCTTGAGTGGAGGAGAACTTAAGTTAGATTTTTCCACTTGTTTATTATACATTTTCATCAATTTTTTTTGGACTAAGTACTTTTTATTGTCTTCCTTATGAGAATTATGCTGCAACATACAGTTGATTACCAATTCATATGCGTAGACTTTTAGTACTTTCCCTTTTTACCGAGTTACATCTTGATGGCAACTTTTTATTTATTTGAATTGTACCTCATAAACAAGTGTTGCCTTGAAACCTTATATACAATTTCTTTTACTTTTGGAGGTGGTGCTATCTGCATATGAACTGTTTGGAGATAATTGCTTACGGATTTATAACTTGAATTAGTCAGAGTGATTACATTTCTGTAAACTTTGGCAGGCTGAAGTGGAAAATTCAGGAAAAGAGTTTGTTGAACTTATTGCTTATTGTGCCAAAAAATGTCAAACTACAAACACAAACCTTTGCGGTATTATTGGATCTCATTTAAATAAGTTAGCAGGTGATTTCCATCAGGTATCTTATTTATGTAGTTTGCTCATATAAATTTCACTAAACTGGCACTCATTGGCAGTGTTTGCATTTGTATTTTGTAATTAAAATACTACCTTTTTGTGCAGGCTGGAACACCTTTTCAGTTAATTCTGAGGGTTTATGCCACTGGATTGCACTTTGTTGATCGTAGTATGAAGTCAAAAGTTGGTCATTTTCAATCCTTTGAAGGTGCAATTAGAGTTTTGCTTGATGATGGGGACACAGGGAATCGCTTGTCCGGTTTGCTTGGTTCATTGAGAAGTTATTTCCAAATTGGCTGCAATGACGACTCTTTGTTATCCAATTCGCAATTGAGTTCGGACAGTGGGGACTCATTGAATCAAATGCAGAAGGATAGAAAGAACTATCTTCTGTGTTATTTTAATGCATTGAAATTCTTATGCCAGCCGCTTACAGAGTTTGTAAATTCAGGAAGGAAACAGATTATTACTAATAATGAAGCTGCTTCTGTTTCTACTGAAGTGTGCCATATCCAGGGTGCATTCCATCAGTTTTGTGACGTTTTTCTTTCTCTTAAAATGTGAGTCAAGGATAAGGTTCAGTGTTTCGTTTCTTTGAGTTCTATGAACACGTGACTGAAGTTGCTTGGTCTTATTGATCCACAATTTCTTCAGTCTTTTCCCTAACTACCGTCTTACAAGATTATAGTCAGTTGATGTTGCAAGATTTATCTGACATATGCTTGTGCCCAGGTACAGATGTACATATGAGGTGGATAGAGATGGATTTGATGGAAACAGCACCCTTGATGTTGCTCTGGCTGCTTTTACCCTCTCCATCATAACAAAGCTGAACATTCAGGTTGTCATTCTTATGATATAATGCTGAAATGGTCCCAGTTATTTGTTTTCTCATTAGTGAAATGTTTATTTCTTATGACTCTTGTACAGCACAATCTTTATTTTCATTACTATTAATTCGATATGTGTTTTAAAAAAATAAGTTTTTTCATTGTTTTTCGTCGTTAATAAATATAATAAATGCAAATTTTTTTTTAATAATTTTGGGTCATCAGTGCAAACTAGGTAATTGGCTTGCCTTTTTCTTATTTCAGAAGAGTGTACAAATACTTGAAAATGTCATCACCAGTGCTTGGATTCAACCTCATGGTCTAAAGCATCTATATGTCTCTCTGTACAATACCGGGGTACATTTGTACAGGAACAAGGAGCTAAAAGAGGTATTCTTTTACAGAATGAATATTTATGACTGGATGGCTTATGGTGTAGTATGAGAAGCATCATTTTCAGTCTGAAGTAATGTTGTTATCTTTATTGTACTTGGCTCTGTAAGTGCTTTTATGGTTTGAATAAATTCTTGCCATGCATCCATTCTAAACATTGAACCATATCTTGTTTGAAGTTTCTTTTTCTCTTAATAACCATTTTATACAATTAGCTTTAGTAATTTAGTTTGCTCTACATTTCATCAGAACTATTTTGTTTTAAGTTCCAAAGATGATTCCCAAGGCTTGGTTTGAGGTCCATATTAGATAGATTTGGTATTTTTTTTGTTTACATTGTGTTTAGTTATTAAAATTTATAGGTAGTAGATTCGAGAGGGAAGAGGGGGTATTTCCTTTCTCTTATTCTTGTTTGGATAGGCAGAAGAAAGACAGAAAGAAATGTTTAATTCAGGATTTTTTTTCAAAAATCAAGCACAACACAAATTTCATTTTCTTTGCAAACCTCTCATCTTTTGTCTCCATTCCGCTCCAAATTTTAGTGTTCAAATGAAAGAAGTTCTCTGTATTTTTTTTCTCTCAATTTCTTTATCCAAAAACACCATGTATCAAGAAAAAGAATATGTCTGGAAATTGACACATTTATTTATGTTGTCTATATGCAGAAATGCTGGAACTATGGGCTTAATATTTAAATACTATCGAATATTTGAGGGGCACCTCTGTATTTGTTTTATATGTGTAAAGAGCCATGATAATCCTTTAGAGTTAGATACATATATTACACTGCTCAATTTGGGTAGCACCATAGCTGTATTGTCATGCAAATGTTTTACCTCAAGTATCTAAAGATGTTTGCTCTGTTGTCAATGTATTAAACTGCTCCCTGTTCAATGTGTTTCACGTATGTATATCCCTCAAATAAGACCATTTGAGGGAAGCTTTGTTGTCCCCACTCCTCATTGTAGTTTGATAGATCCAAAACGTTTATCTTTAGTTCTCCAACCAAAGTTCATTTTTTGCAAGGATGAAAAGCCCCTCAAATAAAACAATGGCATGTATATATTTGTGTGTGTGGGTACATAACACACATTGTGGCTGAAAAAGGGAAAACGATATCTTGTCAGACGGTTTGGCATGTTATACAGTCAGACTGAATAACTTAAAAAATGAGTGGTTCTTAAAGGGGATGATATAGTGTAGCCACTTTGGTATAACTCAAAAGCAGTTGATAAGGTAATAACGAAAAGTGAGCAATTTTTCTCTATACCCTTTTTGAAAGTTCGATGCTAGATGGATTTAATACCCATACAAGATGCGGTAGACCTTAAGAATAGGATCGCTTTGTGCTATATTTTAAGCTTCTAGATGAATATGTGCATCTGTACTTTCATTTGAACTGGATAGAGTTCCAGACAAGGCACTGCTTTATTTCTTATTAACTGAACCTTTTATCTTTAGAAGTTAGCCATGACCCTTATAGACAATCCAGGCTCCTGCTCTGTTTAAATATGTTTCACTCCTGTCCTAATTTAACCAAATTCAAGGAAATTTTCTGTTGTTTTTTAATGTTTCTTTTTGTTCATGTTGTCACTTTGTACAGGATAGATACTCTTTTTCAATCTTATTGGATAGGGATGTAGCTGTTTGATTGTTCTGTGAATTGCTGTTGGATTTTGTAGTTGTATGTGGATCGTTTATTGGTGGAGGCAGGTTTTTAATTATTTAAGCTTAGTGTATATGTCGTCTACTATAATTTCTCTATTCTTTTAATGAAATCTAGTTTCCTATGAAAAGATAAAACCACTTTATACCAAAAGCATTTTTGTACTTTAGAATTCCTTGTTGAGGCCTTTCTTTTGCTTGACTTTGTAAAGTACCTTTGCAGGCATCACAGGCATTGAACTTATGTTGTAAGGCATCATGGACTCGTGTTATACATCTTTGTGAGATGTTTGTACACAAACAAAGGGCGTCCGAGGTTGATCTGTCAGAAGATGCCATTTTAGATTTCTATAATGAGTGCTGTACGAGAAGTGCTTTTCTTTTGGACGTTCTTAATGAATTGCAGAGTTATGATGCGAAAAGAACTTTATTAGAGAGCCTTGAAAATTGGTCCATTGCTGCAAACTTGTTTGGGAGGCTGCCAGGTCCTCTGGCTGTGGTGAAGCAGTGGGTTAAGGTATCATCTGGAATTTCCTTTACTTTTCGTATTGTGTTTTCTTAACATCGTCTAATCATCAAATGTCAACACAAAATCTCATTCTAATCATCTTATAATTATGTATTGTGTTCACTTAATATGCTGTATCTGGTATCTTACTTTTATTATGCCATATCTAGATGGAATGTAAACGTTACAAGGATGTGAATGTTGAAGATGATGCTCCAACCTTATACAGTTTGTTATTGTCTTATAAGAAAGTCCCAAAGAAGATAAACGAAATCGTTTTGGAACAGGTTAGAACATTTTGTATTTCTTTTCAGTTGGAGTTCATTAAATATATTTCCCTAGACTTTAGGTCGCACTTGTACTAACTTTTCTCACGTCTACATTTCTATCTTGAAATATCAGGAACTTCTTGCTTATGAGGGAATGACTGCTGTGAACCCTAAGTTTTGTCAGAAAATGCAAATGAAAATTATAGATTTCCTGCTGAAAGATGTGTATGTCACACCAAATAGTTGGTTACAAAAATCAAGAATTTTGTTGAAAAAGGGAAGGGCATTAAGGCTTTCTGGAAGCAAAGGTCTGAAGGACTGTATTCAGTGTTTATCAGATGCAATATGTTTACTTGTAAGTCAATTTAGATTTTAGTTTATTTTTTGTTTTTTTTTTTTCCGAATCTTAATGACTTGCCTTTAGCGGGTAACCCTTTGATTTTTGGGTTTCTGGCTGATATGAATAAGCTACTGTATCAGAGTGAGATTTATGATGAAACCTGTACCCATGAAATTTCTCCTTGCCATCAATTAGCTGTGGCATATTGCTTACGTGCACTTTCTACCCAGGAAGCTGAACCCAACTCAAAGGTGTGAAATCACGAAAGTTATTTCCTAAGATTGAGTAATTACTGCTAAAAAAGCTTTATATGCTGTTTATATATGCTTAAGTGTCATTGAATTTACAACATTTCCAGCTATTTGATTTGTGTTTGTTATGACTCATGAGCAGCGAGTGCTTGAAGATATCAGTGCTGCCATTAATCTATGGTTGGGCATTTCTACTCCTGCTAATTGCTCTCCGGCTGACAAGTGCTCCATGTTGTCTGAAAATACTATGTTGCTACTTTACAATGTCATTGATTTGTTATCCGCCAAGGTTTGTCCTTTGATGTTGTTGGTGCCGTAGGATCCACCTGAAAATATTATTTCTTTAGGACATGATTTTATTCTTAACAATGACAATGCTTTTGTTTCTTCATGATCTTCAGGGTTGCATGGACTTTCACAATGATATACATAAGCTTATGATTAGATTATTTAAATGGAGGAATGTCCCATTAGAGAAGTGCGTGGCCAGATTTTGGGAATGTAGGAGGATTAGCCATGCCCTTTGTGCCTCACCTGTAAATGAGACATTCATTATGAACTTATCAGATCATTGTGGTGAACTTTCAAAGTATGCTTTTTGGATAGATTCTCTAAAAGATTCCACACCATTACTATTAGTGTTCCAACATAGTTTCTCATTTCTGTTTCCAAACTTTTCTCGGGGCCCATGGAATCATCAAAATTTGTTTCGATCAGATATCACAATTGATGAAGTTAAGGAAGCTGCTTTTGAACTTATATCACAGGTCAGTTTCTCTCAAGTTGCCATCATGAACTCTTATGCCTTAATGACACAAAATAAATACATTTTGGTACTCTTCTTATAGGCTCCTGTATCGACTTGGTCTGCTTACATAGCTGGATATCTCTACTATGATTTATCGGAAAGACTTGTTTCAAATGGACGGTTAATTGAGGTAGTCTGCATTGGTTTATTTAACTTGATTTATTTTGGTTTATTAAATGCTAACAAAGTATTTTGCACTGTTAATTACTAGATATTGAGATGCTTTCTTGGTTTAAACAAGGGGATTCCTGCATGATGATTTTGTATTCATATTTCTTAATACTCTGTAGGCTCTCTCATATGCAAAAGAAGCTCACAACTTACGTGCTAAACTATTTGGAGGGAAATTTATGTTCTCTTCTGAGCGACAGCCCAAAAAGTACAATGAAGGGGGTATCTGTCAGGAGTTAACATATAGCATTCATGATATGCATATGCAAAGATCAGTTGCTAGTGAAGTTTGGCTTTTTGATACTAGTTCATGTGACCTGGAAAGCTATTATCTGAGTCCATGGAATGCACTTCAATGTTATCTTGAGAGCACTCTTCAGGTTTTTCTTCCTCTTTCTGTCAATCTTGTCAAAGTTCAAGTCTGGACCTATCTTTTACTAAGATTGGATTTGAATTTGGATCTCCCATATAACCTGCAGGTAGGGGTTATCCTCGAAATAATTGGTAAAGGAGCTGAGGCCGAAGGTTTTTTACAATTTGGAAAAGCTTTTTCCTGCTCACAGAGCTTGCCACTATTTACAATTGTTTTTTCTACTGTCTTGGGTATAACAACAACTCTCTTATTTCTTGTCCGTTGTCTCACAATTATTTCTTCATTCGCCCCTGGTTTCAAAAGAAGCGGATTGTAATAACTTGCTAATTCACTGTTAAATTGTGAATGTCTTTAGGAAAGCTTTACCACAAGCAGCAACTTTGGGATTTGGCGGAAAAGGAACTGCAAAGTGCCAAGCAATATTTTGGGGCTTGCAGCACAGATCTCTCTTGCATGAAATGCAGATTGTTGCTGGAAGCAACTGTTAATCAGAATCTTGGCGATTTATATCAAAGCATTTTTGAAAATACAAGAAGTACATCGTCAGATAAGTTGTCGCATGCTGAAAACCTGTACAAATCAGCCATTGCCATACTAAATCTTTCTGAGTGGAAAAATTCTGTTAGTTGTCCAGAAGAAGAGTGTGTCGAATGGACAATGCCTGGAAAAGCTAGTCTTAAAGACGTTGGATATTGTGCTAGCAGTATATATACTGTTTCTGAAGAAAAACAGCATGATAATAGAAAAACCACTAAGGAGGGCCTGAAAAGCAAGATGGATGCTAAAAAATGTAAAAAGACCAAAAATGCACCAAAACTGGTCGTGAAGAATCAGGTTTCAGTACCTGAGCACAATTTGAGGGTAACTCGGTCTAGATATCAATCTTCTCAGAACCAAAGCATAAGTGGAAATGGCATCGTCCAACTTGGTCCTTCAAAACTTCTGCAAGGAAAAAGTGAGTGCGATAGCCCTGATACTTTTAGCAAGAGGGAATTTCTATTGGATTTAAAAAGCTGTGAGGTTGCTTTTGGGTGCAATGTAACTTGCATTTGCAACCAAATGAGGTGTTGGCAGTGTCTTCCTGTGGAAGTTATGAAATCTGGGTTAGTGAAAGACTTAGTACATTTAAAATGGGAGTTTGTCCGCCGGCGTTTATTGCTCAGGCTTCTCACAGGATTAGGTAGGGGGCAGCTCTACGTTATAATCTCTTACTTTCTATATCTGCATGCATGTTCATAAAGTTGATGCATTGTCTATTGAATGAACTTCTGTTTGCACTGTAATAATTTCTCATTTCACCCATCTTTTAATGAAAATTTTGTTACTATTTTACCCGAAAGGAAAATTATTTAAAAATTTGATAGAGATTCAAGTCATGGCTCTTGCCTCATTTCACCACTGCCAGCTCATGTGTGTTGCCCTTCGGTAAGGCCAGCGCTGATGAGGCTGAGCATGGTGCCAGCACGAGTAGTGTGGGCCGAGGTGTTGATGGTGGTGGTCATGCTTATTGGAAAAAGGATGGACAATGCTTATTGTGTGCGTTTTAAGAGTGCGTTCAGAGACTTTTAAGAGTGCGTTCAGAGACTTTTAAGAGTGGATTCATCTGCATAAAATTGTCCTATCATATTTAATGCTATCATTAGTATTATTAACAATTTTCTTAGCACTATAGTTTTTTGCTTTTGAATTGCCAAACGTGTCATGATTTCCATACATAGTTGTGTTCTTGCATTTTGTTTTGCAAGTTATGGCTAAAGCATGAGATCCAATGGACATGGAACTTTGTTATGTGTTTTGCTTTAAAACTTTTTTGTTGCCGTAAAATATTTATTGATTAAATTTAGCATTTTTCAGGAAAATGCTTGGACAGTCGTGGTCAAACTCATGAGACACATGAAATTATAGTGCAAACTGTATCAGTCTTGGTCAGCCGAAACCCATTTTGTCCTATTACCTCAACTGTTCCATTGACTTCCTTGCTTGATTTAATGGGAAAGGAGATCCCCGGGGATGTGTTCTGTGTTGAACGGGCAGAAGTACTGTTGAACATAAGTTGGTCGTCTTTGAAGAGTTACTGTTCTAAGGAAACCAGGTAATCTTAATAGTAAGTTCTTATGTATGTCTATGCATGCTTATTGCATAAAAATGCCTTAATTTAGAATCAGGAGTATCACCGGCCACTTCCTTCTTAGTATAAAAGAGATGAGTAATGCCTTCAATTTTATTTTTCTTTTTGGGATAAGCTGCAATGGATTTATACAGTTTACCCATGCTCTTATGGGTACATGCAATTGCAGCAAACAATGTCGAAAAAGTTTAAAAATTGAAATTGTGTCACTTTCAGAGAAAATAAATCTGCTGGAAGTGCCCTTGACCTGCAAGAAAACCTTTTCAGAGACGGTGAGAGAGAATTTCACACAAGTTTTTTTTTCTCTCCCTCTCTCTAAAATTTAAAAGGAGTTAATAATTTGGAATGATAATCCGTTGCTTTAAGTTTGGAGCTAAACAGTCACATTTCAGTTTTACTAGTAGAAGAAAGGCATATTTGGAACACAAAAGCCCTTTTTCTAAAAAAGTAATAGAAAATCCCGAGTTGCCAGCTGAAAATGTGTCCCAGTAGCTTTGATATAAATTTTACTTAAAGAATCAGGGTGGCTAAGGATGGCATCCTCATTTTGCCTAATTGAAGAACAAAACTTGTTTGGTTGCTTCTCTTAACTGGCCCAAATGCTATTAGAAACAAAGCCATGTGTATATGTTCGTCTAATAAGAATTTTAGGTTTTCCAGAATTAGTATCATTTGTCTAAATTCACTTTGTGCTACTGTGATATCTGTAAACGATTGATAATTTAGCAAAAGAGCAATCATGTTGAGCATATTGTTTGTTTCTTATATGATGCTTTAGCACTGGAAAATTGTCCTAAAAGCTAGCTTTGAATTTTTTTTTTGCCTTTACAGTTGAATATTGGCTTTAACTAACAAATGGATGCCAATGTAAAGACCTAAGAAGAATTTTCAATTCCAAGGCAAATACCTAATGACAGATGCAAATGTTAACATGAGTGCATTGTTCAGATTTGTAATAGTGCTAACTGTTTTACTCTCTCTTGATTTTCTTTCACCAGGAGTATGTGCTCTGATCTGCCTCATATTCAGCTACCAAAACTAGTGTCTTGGTTGATGCTAGCTTTTGTTCTCTGCCGCGACGTTCCTGTACTTTTCCAGAAGGTCAAATCTACCTTTATATTCTTTCATAGTCCTTTCATTGCATTGGCTGTAGTGTTTTCATTGATATATCATACTCCATGTGTTTGTGAGTTGTTAATGGACTTTATTTTGATGATGTTAAGTGCATACATCACACTATGATAGTAAGGAGCAAATCCTGTGCCTTTGTCTTTATGAACTACTATATCTCTTTTGTTTTGTGACTCCTTTTTTTCCAAAAGAAAAAATAAATCATTTTTTTAAGCTCAAGTAAAGCTAGCTTCTTTTGAAAGGCATGTTGCAACATTGTCGTACTTGGCGGAAAGTAACCCTGGTTTTATTTTAATGTTACAGGGTCAGCTCTTGTCAAATTGGATTGCATAGTCTAACATAGTTGGGGATGTTTATGTATTGAATAGGAAAACAATTTCTTGGCTGCTTCTGTAACATTTAGTGCTTTAAGTAACTTTAGCCTGAACTGTGGCTTCTTTGCATTTTGGCCAGTTGAGTTTTTTTGGCTTTGAATTCAAACCTCTGGTCCTGCATGTAGTCTATTTACAAATGGTGGATGGTGACTCAAATGCCTAAAAAGTAATCTGGAACATCCTGTTAACCATAATTTCTACAGGAATTATTTTGAACTTGCAATCCATTGCGTTCCATGTTTTTTAAAAGGGAGGTCCATTTTATGATGGGATTGTATTACTACATTGAGTCATGCAGTCCAAAAAGTTGGTCGACGGTTTGTAGAGGAATGCTATGGTCGACGGTTTGTAGAGGAATGCTATGGAGCCTTTGAAAGATTGATCTGTCCTAGGTTCATACTATACTGTGTTTGTTACAGAATATATAGATTTAAGAGGATCTTGTGGTATGCTTTCCTTCATTTAAAATATTTCCTATGGCTTTATGAGTAAGTTCAGTTGTATTTATTGGATTCTGTAAACATGACAGAAGAGCTCAGATTGTTTTTTATTGTCACTGCCACATCATTTAAGTTCACTTGTGTTGTTTTGTTTTGTTAAAATTTGAATACAGGTGGATGATCACGGCGTTGTAATGGTAGCTGACTTATTTTGTTTAGAGTTTTAGTTCTTGGGTTTAGTTCCTTATCTGTGAAAAACTTAAATAATAACCGCATTTAATTTGGATGTTATGGATTTGAGTTTCTTCTATTACAAATCCAAGTGTCTTCCTATATTTTTTGTCGTTTTGCTTTTATTTGGTTTCCATAATGTTGTCATTATTCAAGATGATTGACTTTTGGTGCTAAACAGGTTTCCAGATTGCTTGCCGCTATATTTGTGCTTTCTACCTCAAGTGATCTTTTTTCTTTGTCATCTTCTTCTAAAACTCTCCGCGAAAACCATTGGGCTTCTTATTTCCATCAAGCTTCACTTGGCACTCATCTTAGTTGCCAATTTTTCACAAATATATCTGGGATATGTAATGTTCAGCACCTTGTAAACACTGAGGTATGTTTACACACTTTGATTCTGTTTATTTAGTCTATCTATGTAAGCAATAATCAAGCTACATACATACTAATAAATCTATATGAGAGATTTTAAACTTGGGGGCTTACATCAATTACTTGAATGTCTTAGCTCCCAAGATAAATGCAAATGGTATATTTTCTGGTTGCACGCTCATCGTTCTGTTCTTGGGTAATTATGAACAAGTTTTGTCACCACTTGGATATCTTGTTTAGTACTGAAATGAACCATCATTTGGACATTACCTCCCTACTGCTGTGAATGCATGTTGGAATTTGCTTTTATGGCTCTCTAATCTTCATATTGTGTTCTGCTAATTAGCATTCCAGATTGTTGTATTTGCATAGCAAACCCAATGTTTAATTCCTTTATTTAACACATACTAATAAGTTAATGTTGTTAAAAATCCTTATTTTCAGGGTTCACATGTTCCTGGCTCAACTTGTTTGGGATCAGAAAAAAAGAATTTACTCAGGTTGTGTTTGTCACGTTACAAAATTGGTGGTGTCTGTCATTGAACCATTCTAACACGATTTGTTCGTATCTGATGCAGGCTTGCACCTGAGTCTATTCAAGAACTTGAAGGATTTGTAACACTGTTTTTTGCCGGCCTTCCTTGCACAACAATTATCTGTATAAGTTTGCTCGGAAGCCCTTATGCTAGTTTCCTACAGGAGCTGTTGTCCTTTCATACTTGTGTTCATGCATGGATTCTTGTATCACGCTTGAACTTGAAGAGTCAACCTATTGTTATGCTTCTACCTGTGGATTCAGTATTAGAAGGTAATTTTTTAATGTAGGTAGGCATGAATTCAGAAGTTCGTAGCATGTCTTGCACTGATTAACACTTGCAGTAATTTGTTTATGTTAAATTTACTCAGGAGATTCCTCCGATGATACAAGTTCTGGTTCTGTTAGTGTTTCTGACGGAAAGGTTGGAAAGCGTTGGTGCTGCCCATGGGGTTCCACTGTGGTTGATAGGGTAGCTCCAGAATTTAGAATGATATTGGAGGAGAGTTATTTGTCATCTTCAATCGAAGAAGAAGAAGATACAAAAGAGAATAGGGCGTTATGGTGGATGATGTGGAGAAATAAGCTTGATCGTCGCCTCTGTAAATTGTTGAAGTAGGTTTCTCTTTCCTCTCTTTGTATGCAAACTTTCGTGGGCTTAATTGTGCGACTCGTGAATGTCCACCAACCTATTTTATTTTTATTGGATTTTGTTGAGATAATGAGTTTAGATTTGGGTTTTCAATCTATATATTCTGTTAATGGCAGTAGAATTTTTATGAAAACGAAATTCTGTACTTTGTTTAATGTTTTAACATTAGACAATTTGGAGAACTATCACTTGGCGCTCATGGTGTTATGTCTTCATGCACCAGGAACTTAGAAGATTTATGGTTTGGTCCTTGGAAATATTTGCTTCTGGGAGAATCGTCAAACTGCAAGCAGCTGGACTTGGTACATAAGAAGCTGGCGCGGGATTTGAAATCTAAGTGCAAAATGGACATAGATGAGAGTCTTCTGAAAGTCATTCTTGGGGGTTCCAAATATGCCTTTGAAGGTGGAGGCGCATATGTTTCACAGCTTTGTTTCAAGAAGTTTGTTTACATTCAGTTGTTATTTCATAAGTTGTGGATTCAATTCGTTCATCTATTTGATTGATACTTATTTATGTATGTTGATTGAGAGTGCACGCTTAGTTTTCATGCATGAATATGATGCTAGATTATGAGGGAGTTTCACCTAATAGTTATAATCTTATAATCACAAGTAGTGAAGATCGCTTGAAAACGATCGCGTTGAATGAATTCTTAGCATAAGTTTCATGCAATTCATAGTAACAAATGCTTCGTCAATGCTTATGTTTTTCATAAAACGTAATGATTCTTGCTTGTATCTCTATTATGCAATTCATGTAGGGAACTTGTAGGGAATGTTTTGAGTTGTCGTATGCAATCATCCAACTTGATAAATTCTGGAAAAAACTGAGGGTTAATTAGTGCAATTCACGGTTAACTTGGGGCGTTGAGTATTCGTAGTTTATCGGAAGAACAACTGAAAAATCGTTTTGTTTGCAAGTGTGACATGTGTGGAGAAGAACCTCCTAACTAGCCTTTTATCCATCCTTTTCACCAAAATCGTTTTTACAATCTGTGATAATTAAAGTTTCTGTTTTGTTTTCAATTTCTGTCCAAAACTATTCCCCCTTTATTTTGAAGTCTTAGATTAGTTAGAAAGTGTTTTGATTTGTGTTTCTAGGTGTTTTGATTCAAGTTTTCAACCAATTTCGTCCAGATTAGTGTAAGTGCTCAAAACTGCCCAGAAAGTGGTTTTTAGGCAGTTTTGAGCCTTCTAGTTGCTGTTTTAAGTTTTAGGTTTGTTTAAGTGTTTTAACTTTTAGTTTTGCATTCTTTGAGTCTAGTTTAGTGTTTTTAACTTTGTTTTTGAGTGTTTAAGTCAGTTTCCAAGCGTTTAGCAATCCCTCCTAATCCCCGGTCTAGAACGATCCCTACTTACATCTTTACTACAATTTGACAAAAAGAGGGTTTAATTTGTGTGCTTAATATATTTCGCATCAGCACCATGCAGCTTACTTAGTTCCTTTTCCAGGTTCTCGCTAGCAGATAATGCACATTGCAGATCCACTTCCTTTTACTCAAGCTTACTAGCAACATCCTTAAGACGAGACACTTTAGCATGCATGAAGACAAGCTCTTCTTACTTGGCAAAACAAGCAGATCGTAGCTCTGAATTGACACGCTCAAGGTCTTTGACCACCAGTGCAACACGACTGACTTCCTTCATTGCAACTTCCAACATCGCATGAGTCACACTAAGCTTAGCCTTTAAATGGGCGATCTCCTGATAAGTTGTCTCCAATTGCATAGAAATGAGGGCAGAGACAAAGACATCAGACCCCTTCAAAACGGCGAGTTTAGATTCAAACTTCTCGATCTTTTCAGCAGCCAAGCGAAGCTGAGCCGTCAACGCCACTTCGGCCTCCTTAGTACACTTGATAGCATCTTGATCATTGCGCATATACTCAGCTCCCTAGATCAAAGTCTATTCATTGTAGTAATCAGGAAGAACCTCCTCCAGTAGGTAGGACATTTCACAAAAAAAGTCTGAACAAATGACAACTTTCCTAACACTATCAACAAATTTGGCGCATACATTAACGTCCTCAAACAGGTCAGCTTTCAACAGTGCACAAATCTTGGGAAACACCCCAACTTCAGACTTAGTGGATCTCTCACAACTGTCTGTGCTAGCAAACTTCCCTTTCTTCGCAGACGAATCAGTAGCAACGGAAGGAAAAACAGGCTCAGGTGCCACCTTAGCAGCAAAATCCACCTTCCCGCTCTTCATAGCGGTGAGCCTCTCAGAAGCCGAGCCAGACTTAGCTCCCGATGCGTGCTTCGGCACAAACCCAGACACTAAAGGCACCACTGAACCTCTCCGCTGGGCCTCTTAGTAATGGTCGTGGCTACCTTTGGAACAATAGGTTTCATAGACTTAGAATCGATGGTTTTTTTCACCTCATTAGGAGAAGTCAGATCGATGAGAAACTCTCAGCAGCAGACGAACCTGCGTGAACAGCAGAAGAAATCTTTGGCTTCTTCTCGACCGAAGGCTCAAAAGCAGGTTAGGAAGATCTCTTCTTACCACCCTCATTGGCAGTTGGCCCTACAACAACGATCGGACAACCAAGCGCCTCATCTTTTATCTGCTTTATCTCTTTCTTCAGAGGCAGCTCGCCTTTTTTTCATGTGATAAAAGTTAAGCACTCAAATTAAACCCTTTTGTTGTCAAATTGTAGTATAAAAGGAAGTAGGGATCGTTCTAAACCAGGGATTAGGAGGGCTTGCTAAAACCTCGAAACTAACTTAAAAACATAAAAACAAAGTTAAAAACGTTAGAATAGACTCAAAGGACTCAAAACAGGTTCACAAGACTCAAAATAATTTCAAAACACTCAAAACTGCCTAAAAACACCAACTAGGCAGTTTCTGACTCTAAACACAACTTCAGACGAATTTAAGGTTTTGGCTTGACTCAAAACACTCAAAAACACAAACAAAAACAGATTCTAACTAATATGACTCTCAACAAAGTAAAGGGGGATTTGGTTTTGAAAAATTTAAAGTAAAAACAAATAACTAAAAACTTAGAACAGATTGTAAACGAATTTGGGAAATAATATGGTGGATGGATTAGTTAGAGATTCGTTTTTCACACATGACACACTTGTACATGAATCGATTTCCAATTACTTTTCAATAAATTATGATGCTCAACACCCTAGATTAACCGTGATGAACTAATTAACCCTCAGATTTTCCTTTACTCATTGAATTGGATGAATGCATGCGACAACCCAAATCATTCTCCAAAAGTCCCCTACATGAATGCATAATAGAGATACAATCAAAGATCATTACATTTCTATGAAAATCATAAGTGTTGACAAGACAATTGTAACTATGAATGCATGATACTTTTGCCAAGAACTCAATTAATACGATTGTGACTATCAACCTTCACTACTCATGAATATAAACTTGTAACGATTAGGTGAAACTCATTTATATTCTAGCATCAAATTCATGCATGAAAACTAAGTATGCATCCTTATTCAACATACAAGAATCAGTTTTGAAGAAAACAGTTAATTGAATTGCAATCACAACTCATCAAATCACAATTGGCAGAAATCAATTCATATCTCAAGCATGTTCATGGCTTCAAACTTCCCCCTAACTAAATAGGAATTTAGCCACTCATAGTCACAGCGAAATTAGAAATTAACAAAGTAGACATTGAAAACGAGAACAAAGTACACCTAAAACGCTCCAAAGTCCAAAGCTTGAAACGCCGAAGGCCCTTCTTCTTTCCCACCTTGTTGCGGCACAAGTGTCTATGGGTGTTTATGGGTGAATGGAAGGGTCAGGAATGTATTTAGGTTGAATGGGGGTTGCGACAAGGATGTATGGTGGTGGAGTATGGTGTAAATTGATGAATTGTTGCGGCTAAGAGTTGTTTCTGAATGGTAGAGGGTTGTGTACGAAATTGTGGCTGAAACACTCATATTTATAGGCTAGGGTTTTCACAAATTCTGAAGGGAAAAGGCTAGGGTTTTGTAGAAAAAGGCTTGGCCCAATCCAAGGTGGAAAAGAACTAGGGTTTGTGGCAGATTTTTAGGCTTCTAGAAAAGAGAATAGGCTTCACTTTTTTAGTCTTCTAGAAAAAACATGTTTTGTGGCAGAAATTGGGACTTCTAGAAGGGTTTGCGGTGCCACCTTTCTAGGGCTTCTAGAAAGGTGGGTGCGGCATGTGTTTAAGGGAAGATATAGGCCTTCTAGAAGGGTTTTAGGTGCTCTTGCAACTGATTATTCATCTTCCAAGTCTTGAATTGATTTCTCCATCTCTTTAGCATGTTCCTAGCTTCACTTGATCTTCAAAAATGTCCATTCCTTGTGTTCCACATGTATGCAATCCATTCCAGCCCATAATTGCTCTAAAATGCTTCAAAATGCACTTTCTTGCCAACTTTACCAATTAGACCTACAAACAAACGAAAATAGCTTAAATCACTATAATAAACACAAACTAACTATGAAAATGCAAGAAAACAAGCTAACTAAGTTGCATAAATATGCTCCTATCAAATTCCCCCACACTTAGCTTTAGCTAGTCCTCGAGCAAAACAAACAAAACAAAAAACAAACAAAACAAAAACCTAACCCTTCCAACGTTCGTCTCAGAGATTTCCAATGCATATGACTTGCTAAAAATCATTACTTACACATATTTTAGTCATCCTTACCCTCGAGCACATACTTAATCATAGTCACCATTCACTAGCTCGCATTTAATCCATTTAAAACAACATTTTGAATTTAGTAACATGCCTTAGAGAATTCCCTCAATTCCTTACTAGATATGCACTCAATTTTCACTCAGATTTTCTGACTACACA